GCCACCTCAGGTTTATTTTTGAGGGTATGGCACAATCTCTGGCACTGCCAAGAAATGACATTGCAAACTTCTGTCTACAGCCAACTGGTGCCTACGGACTAATTCCAGAGGTGAGCTAAAGAACTCGTGCCTAAAAAGAGATGATGGTGGGCTGGCTGTCAGGGGCTCTATCGGTCTGTCTGCTCTGGCGTTTAACTGAGGCTTTTGCATACGTGGAATTCATCCCTGTGTTGCACTCTTCCCCAAGCTCACTCCAAACAGCTCCACTTCGATCCCAGTATGAAAACAGAAACAGAGCACAAATTCTGCATATGCAAAGCAATCACTGCAAAGGGTTTTCTTTTGACCAGAGTTCGTTACTTATAAATCAAGATCTGTAAACAACAAAAAAGGTGTAAGTAAATCTCCTGCCCTACCATGAATCACCTGCAATTAGACACACTGATGCATCTGAAACCTGTTTCCGATTTTATGGGGGAACAGCTGGAAACGCTTCAAGGTAATTTCTCTCTGCTCTAACTTGCACACTACAAAGAGAAATGAGGATATTACGCAGCACTGCAGAATCAATCGTTATTGTGGAAATTACTGGTTTGATGTCTAGGCCAATTAGCTGCAAGTGGAATTAGCACACACCCTGCCCAGTACATGTTCTCCCCCAGCTCAGAAAGATGTTGGCTATGAAGGGACTCCACATAGGTGTGCACAGAAATGTCAGAACTAGCATCAGACTTCCCAGTGCTGAAAATCCTAACATCATTTTCTTCTCTCAGTACCTGAAAAAGTCTGTGGTGATGGCCTCACCTCCACACTGTGGCAAGAGGGAGAAATGAACATTAGCTTTTCAGGCAGAAAGAGGGGAACACATAGAGAGACGTGACAACGGCAGGTCCGACCGACCCTCTGCATTTGGATTTTATAGCTAATAAAGGATATACTTGGCCAACTAAACTGCTCATCCCACGTCAGACAACCAGGCTGACTGAGACGAACTCAAAACACCATCTGCTCCCTTTCCATCACCACCCTGACTTGCACCAACAGACACTACTATGCGCGGCAGCTAGAATTTGTTGCATTTTATCGACTAACCGACTCTATGCCTGGTTTGGCTACTGGGGAAGAATTCAACATTTGAGATGAAGTCCTGCTAGAGGATTAAGTCCTTTGTAGGAGAAGGTAAGCATTTAAAATGGGTGATGCAGGAGTGAGGAACATGGAATACCTTGCCAAACAAAAGGGATCCGGCTGCACCGATTCTGTTAAACTTCAAAGATCCAAAGGAAGCAAAACAGAAAGGAGCTAATTTTCAGGACCTCCACACATGTGTAAGGTCATGCAAGACTGAATGTTTTATGGTAGCTTAATCCATACTTTAAATCTCGCCCTGGGAGTAGCCAACACAGAGGATCTCACCCACCACAGCTCCTGACAGGACAATGAGAGACCACAAGAAGGGAGGCAGCACCAGTTCTGCATGCACACAGGCTTCTGCTTCTCTGGACCTTGAGTCACCTGCTACTGTGCAAGGCCAAATCCCCGCCCTGTATTCATAAAGCCAGTTGTTCAGTTTGGTGGTGAGCTGGCACCCATCACCACAGTAACTGAGCAACAGCACACAAACACCACCCCGGAGAGAAAAGCTCCTCTGAAACTTCAGTTTGAAATCAGTTTCCTGTAACCATTTGGAGGTTTCCCACACAGCGGCAGACCTGTCCACTTCTATCTACTATTGAAACTCTTACATCAGCAATTTAACAGATTGCTTCTATAAAAGGCTCTCAGGCCAAAGGAGACGTTTTCTTTCGGCTTACTAAAGCAAGAAAGATGCATGAAGTTGCCTTGTAGCCTGCAGCATGCATACAGTTGCTGTAGTCACTTTGAAATACAGCAAACAGGAGAGTAAACCCTGGCTCCAGTGCGTTGTCTTTTGTAGTACGGTGTGTAACCCTTGGCAGCACTCGATGGGCAGCAGATCTTAAGAACGTTAATGTAAACTGCAGTGACTCCTGAAATGAGGAGATCTGTCCCCGATGCATGCCCCTGCAGCGGAGGCTGCAGCGTCTGCCATTCCAGGGTCAGCATTTACATGAAGATGAAGAGCTACAAGAGAATTCCTTGAAACCTACCGAATGACAAGTAAAATGCCATAACTGGGATGACTTGTGTGAATAATGCAATTCCCATGCATCTAGCAGAATTCTACAAGATGAATTTGCAACAATTCTTCTGTGTAGTTCCTCTATTATTTTTTATTTTTATCACCCCTGCATCCATTTCGCTGAAGTGAGTCACTGTCATTCTGGCAGAAAAGGAAAAAACTACTCACGGCTGTAAAAACAGAGGCAACTCAACTGGGGTTACGTGGGGTTACCACCAGTCCTGAGCTGCAAGATTCTCGGAGCTAGAATCTCTGGAAATCTTGCAGCGCCAACACTGAGCAGCTACAGTAAAACCCTGAAGCTTCTGTGTTTTACCCTTCTTTTGCAAAATAGCCCTAGCTTTCAAGGGAGGTGCACGAGTTGTTTCTAACACTGAACTACATGTACTAACAGTGCCATCCAGAGGTACTTGGGTGTAGCACACAGCTGTGTCAACAAGAAATACCCTACCAGCGTGCAAGAGACTATATAACCTTACACCATCAGACTTTAAACTAGCCATGAAAAAATTATATTTTTCTGTTACTTTTCACTTCCTTTGCCTATCAGCTTTCATTCACTTGTTCATTTCAGCCTCTCCCAACACTCTGTCTGTGTTTTTATTTTCTGTGAACAATAATCCAGTCATTCTTAAAAATATATACATCTCTGGCCTCTCTTGGAAAACAAGAGCTATTTCATTTTACTCACAATTGCTAACAACTTGATTGGTACCATATGCTCAGTTTTGAGAGGCACCCACCTGTATTTCTTTGCCATATAATAGTATACGATTTTGGATAACAGCAGCCACACTTTGTAATAGGAAATTTAACAGTGGAAAGCAATCTTTTTTTCCCGCCAATCTAGAACAACTGATGACTCCCTTATAAGCTGTGAAACTGTGGCTCAAACTTCATACTAGAAAATACTTTTCTAATATATGAATATATACACACATACACGAAGAAATATATATATATACACATACACGTACTATATATGATCTATATGTATGCGTATATATATGTCACTCTGTGTGTGTGTGTGTGTGTGTGTGTGTGTATATGTCAGTTGCCACATCTAAATCTTTCAGACATCTCCTGTGGTTTATCTTATGATGGGGTAAATGTATCATATAAGTTTGTTCAGTAGCAAGGGTGTAATTTACTTCTGTTTCCAGAGATACTTCCTTTGCTGATACCCATATCTGCACGACATTTAGGTGTAGATTTGCAAAGTGTTGTCTGCTGATCTCCACTGGTATCAGAGAAAAATGATTTGTCAAACCCTACCTCTCTGCTTTAGGAAGTTAATTTGATTATACAGATTACAAATAAGTAATCCCAACAGCACAAATTACATACTTGTTTCTTTCTTTTTTTTCCCTGAGATTTATTCAGACAGACAAACCATTGATTTTGAGATCTATTATCTTAAAGACGCAAAAACACTAAACTACAGTACACTTGTATCTGTCTGTATTCAAATCATTCTTTTTCAGAAATCATCACTTAATTGTCCATCGGAACTAGGGCAGTGGTAGTAATTTAACTGGTTTCAACTTGCACAAACTCAAAGGAAAATTGTGAGAGAGAATTCACTTGAAAATTAACAAAATAACTTTTCAGGTATCCTGTGGCAATCACCATTCCTACTCCCTGCAGCCCTCCTAAAAAGAAACTCCTCCTTTTACAGTCTCAGTATTTCAAAAAAAAAAAAAAAAAAAAAAAGCAAAAGCCGTAAAAATACAGATTAAGGCAAATTATAGATGCTGTTATTGAACCATGCCTACTACACAAAGAGGTATGTATAAAAGACGGAGGTTCTTGAGTGTTATGGAGTCCAAATGTTAAATGTAGGGACAAATGTCTACACTGCATTTGGAAATTCACATTGAGTATCTGATGCCTGAGCATCAGATACTGAGCATAAGATGACGGCTTAAATTTTCACCAGGCACCCTGGACCATACCTCGTTCACAACAGGTCTCCTACCGGTAGCTGCAGAGACATAGCTCTTCAGTCAATGAAAGCACAGGATCATATCATAGAGAGACTTGCAAGGAGACTTGAAGGGCCGTTTGAAAGAGGTGAATGAATCTGCAGAAGCCTGCTCTAGTAAGATGGTAAGTGGAGAAACAGCTTTTGCAATCCAGACATCTCAGTGCTGAATATATATGTCTGGAGAAAATAACAGACACACGGAGTCCTTCATAGAGCTGTGAGATATGACCCACAGAGATCACTGAGGCAATAGTCTAACTTTACAATCTTAACTCTGCCATAAGCTTCAGACACATCTTATATCAAATGTAGAACACTTACATTCTGCCATAAAAAAAAGCAAAACCCAAGAAACACACCAGCTCTGTGCACTAAACATGATGAAGAAGTTATAGCAGTTATTTATCAGAAAGGATTTATTTAAAAGATCAAAGACAACAGGCCTACTCACTCCTGCCACTTGCACACACACAGTGTTTTCCCAAAATGCTTTTTGCAAATAAAAATGTCATCAGTCACCTGACTAGGGTCTAACTGCTGCACGAGGAGGTATTTGTTCAGATAACAAATGGAAGTGTAAATTGATGGCAAATCTGTGCGACCAATAGCAAAAGATCTGGAAAGGCATGGAAAAATCAGGTCTGGCGTATTCATTTTGAAGCCCTGTTCAGAAACTCTACTAGGTTCCAAACTATAATTCCTTTTCTTTTAGAAAGTAACATATTGTAAAAAAAAAAAATCAGAACACAGTGCAGTTTGAGAGAAAGGTAAATAGAAAAATCATTATCTATAGCTATTTCCCCTCTTTCCACGATTACCCAGGCAGAGTGCAGGCTGTATATGCGAACTGACCTGTACTTCCCCGTCCGTACTTGCAGAGCTCGCATACCGCACTGCTGGGCACCTCCTACATCATTCACAATATCATCTCCAATCATGATGGCCTGTCAAAGCAATGAAATACAGAAAAACTGGTGTCAAGTAAATTTTATTTCTGCCATACTTCATACTTCTTTGACATAATAAACAGCTTGATTTGATGTTTAATACTGCCATCAGACAAATTAAACAAGATAATATTGTCATCGTATTGATTAAAAGTCATCCTACCTTGAATATAATTCATGCTATGCCTCCTTGAGCTATACAATAGTGGAGTATACGTCCGCACAATTTGTAATCAATCACATAAATCAAAGTGATTTGGCACAGAGCTCAAAGAAAGTGTTGAATTTTATGAGGTTAGTCCTATTATGTTTCTAACCATGCATTGGTGTTATGCCCCAAGCAGTTTACATTAAGGTTAACATTTTAAGCGTTTCCTTAAAATTCATATTCTAAAAGCTAGTCAAAAGCTTTACATTTGTGACCACTGAAACGTATAACTTTGCAAAGCTCGATCCCAACCCACTCTCAGCTTGATATAGAAATTCAGAAAGTATTCTGGCACTGTAAAGTCTAATTTATTTATTTTTGCATAATGGGACACGATATGTACAGGCATAACGAGGTTTGAATTATGGTCACCTTAAGTCTATGCAAATACTAATAAACTAGTTGGAGTAGATTACAAAAAAACATAACTGAGAAAAGACCTTCTGGTTTTGCTAAGGGGATTAGTCGGCATGTCCGACAAAAACACGTATCGTGCATGCTCACTTCAGACTTCATATCTTTATGTTAAAGATCTTTGTTAAATCAAAGCGTATCAAGCAAAAGGTCTTTCTCACTGACAACTGTGGCTGTAAAAAATTTCAAGTGGTTACTCTCATCTGCATTAAAAATGATTAAGTTACTTTATTCTTCAAATTTAAAAATGGTTGGGGGCTTTTACTTTATAATTTCAACATAAAACAGCATCTACACAAAACAATAGTCTTCAATTAAGAAGAAAAAAATCAGCTTTCAACATGCCTAAGGAACACTGGATTACTCTAAAGAGAGCAGAGGCTGTACTTAAAACTAGGAAAATATATCAGCTTTGAAAATATGTAATCTAATTTATCTGTCAGATTTTGAAGCGTGATGTTGCAGCTTACGCATCAAAGTTGAATTTTATCTAAAATATATTAATTAGTTACATCATTAACTACTTTATCTTCACCTTGCTGCATTAGCCTCCTACTTTACAAACTTAACTGCCAGGCTTTCACAACAATGGTACTTTGCAACTCTTGCAGTTAGGAAGAAATTCTTGCCTACATTTCTGCCCCTTCCATGCACTTTTGCTTACCAATAATTTTCACATTTGCACATCAGATACACAGAGCTGCTACACAAAGTGTTTCTTCTCATATTAAAGAAATGGTTCCTCCATTTTAAGCTCTCTGTCTTGCGTTTTTTCTGGTGTCTGTTATTATGGGTCTTTGTCCCGTGTACGGGCCTCAGAAGGTTAAAAGGCATGTTTGCACCCGGCCCAGGACTGCCTTAGATGGCAACCGGGTTACTAAGAACAGCATCAAGGGGGACTCCGCTGGGCATGTACAGAAAGTCAACCTAGCATTTTTCCATCTGTGGTGAACCGATAAATAGGCTCTTGTCAAAGAGGTCATGGGAATGAGACACACACAGCAGAAACAGATCGGCTTCTCTAGTGACAGCGGTCCGAAAGGAATTCTGAGTTTTTTCATACAGCTGGCCGTAGCTTTAAGGAAAAAACATATAGGACTTCTCTGTTGTAGGCACCAATCCAGTTACCACTTCTGGCCAATATAAAAGCCTCTTCTTTGTTTGCCTTCATATGAAAGCACCTCTCTTTAACATGGCATAACCATACGAGATCAGTGGCCCAAGGCACTCAAGAGCCTTGCCTTTTGCAAGCCTGCAGGTACCTTTGCTCTCACTGCTCTCAGCCCTTCCGAGCAGGGAGGAAGACCATCACACAGACACCACGGGAAGCTCAACAGAACGAGCGCACGTCTGAATAGGGTAGGTCCATTTCCCCAAAATTTAAGGTGATGCAATTTACCCATGGCCCACTACCACAGGAACTTCAAAAACAATAAGTTTACTTTACAAATGCAGAGCAGCTGAAGCCAGAACCATTAGGTCATCCAGTTTAACCTCCCTTATAGCATAGTCCATTGATTTTCATCAAGACACCCTTCTTAACAAGCCCAACAGCTTGAATTTCAGTAGGACACAAGTCATGATGGATATCCTGCAAAAAAGCATCTAGCTGTAATTTGTGGACATCAACAAATAGCTTATTTGATGCTGTTTAACAATGAGGATTCTTCATCCTTAAAAAAAAAGCATTTGCACCTGATTCTTACTTGGCTTTGTCTGGTTTCGGCATTCAGTCACAGTTCTTGCTGCATCCTTTTCCTCTAGATTAAGCGATTTTTTGACAGCTTGTAGGTTCTCTCCACGAAACTATTTATAAAAAGTATCTAAGCGTAATACTGCAAAATAGTGTCTTACATCTGAAACACAGTTGCTCTCATTTCATTCTTCCCCCTGCCATGTTTGTGGTGAGCTCTATGCCCTTTCAGCTGATCAGTACCCCCACTTCCCTCCACCCTGCTCTCCTGTTCATACATCCACATTTCCCATGAGTCCTTTTTGCTATAGCTTCACTTTGGGAATTCATGCTGGGATTCACCCTTTTCTGATTCACTACTTTCCAGAAACAGTCCATTGCTATCAACGTTGCAAAGGGGTCTTAGAAATACAAGTTTGCTTTGGGCTACTTCACTACATGAACGTACCCAAACCAATAAGCCACCATGATTTGCACTGTCCCTGTTAAGTTATTGCTGCATCAACCTG